ATGTATCAGAGTATCTTATATACCTTGAATATACATATTTGGGGGGAGTGAAATATTTTAAAATAGGGGCTAGTATGCAGCTCAGTGGGACAGCATGTGGTTAGCATGTACAAAACCCTGGGTTAGATCCCCAGCACTCCAAAATTAGTTTTATTTGTGCATATATATGCATGTTTGTAAGTTTCTGCTGACATAAGCCACATTTCCAATTTGGCATTTTGCTGGCTAATTGATGAGTCATAGACTTTTCTGCTTGGGATGGCTTCAAACCTGGATCTTCTAAGTGTCAAGACTCCTGAGTAAGCCGGGCGCTGGTGGCTCACGCCTGTAATCCTAGCTACTCAGGAGGCTGAGATCTGAGGATCGCGGTTCAAAGCCAGCCCGGGCATGAGAGACCGTGAGACTCCTATCTCCAATAAACCACCGGAAAACCGGAAGTGGCGCTGTAGCTCAAGTGGTAGAGCACTTGCCCTGAGCTGAAGAGCTGAGGGACAGTGCCCAAGCCTAGAGTTCAAGCCCCACTACCGACCAAAAAAAAAAAAAGACTCCTGAGTAGCTAGAGCTCGTATTACTAGGGGCAAGCCACCGGTGCCTGACTTAAATTATTTCATTTTATTTTTCCAGTCCTGGGGCTTGAACACAGAGCCTAGCCTAGGCTCTGTCCTTGAGCCTTTCTTGAGCCACAGCACCACTTCCAGCTTTTTCTGAGTAGTCTCATGGATTTTCCTGCCCTGGCTGGCTTTGAACCACAGAGATGTTAGGATTACAGGTGTGAGCCATTGGTGCCTGACAAATCCTAAATTTTAAACTTAGCCTTTGTGTAATAATAATAAAGTCTTATCCCAGCTTCCTGGCATGATAGCTTCAAAAATCCTTCAGATCTTCAAAGGGATTTGTCTTTTTTTTTGCTAATGAGTTGATTACTGGCTGGTGGCCCCCTGGTGGAGGGCTGGTCTCTGGTAGACCAAAAGTCACTTCAGAGGATGGGAACTTTCCTAGCCTCAAAAAAGGGCTAAATTAGGCTGAAGGTTAAACTTGGTCACTAGTGGCCAATGAGTTGATCAATTACACATAAAAATTCAAAAGGGAGAATGAGGATGTAGCTGTGTGGAAGAGCCTTTGCCAGGCACGTTTGAGGTTTGAGGCTGTAGGATAGAAACACAAAGCCCTAAAGAACAAAGTTGAGAGCCAACAACTTGTTCTGAAGTGCCCAGAGGGTGTGGAAGTCACACCCTTTCACCTTTACCTCGGTCCTGCAAGGCTCTTAATCAGTATCCATTGTACCTTCCCAGATAATAAACTGATAAATATAAGTAAACTTTCCCTTCTCAGAGCTGAATTGAATCACTGGTGGGAAGGGGTAGGAACTCTGTTTTGTAGCTGGTCTCTGAAAGTACAGGGAAAACAAACTGGGGTTCAGGGGTTCAGTCTTACGGCTGAGCACTCAGCCTATCTAAGGAGTGCCATTTCTGGCTTTTTAGTAGTTAATTGGAGACAAAAATTTCACAAACTTTTCTGCCTAGGCTGGTTTTAGCTTCAATCCTCAAATCTCAGCTTCCTGAGTAGCTAGGATTTTACAGGGGTGAGCCACAGACATCTGGCGATAATTTAAAATTTTTTTTAATTTGGCACTGTAAAGTTCAGGCAAGTGGTTATGACAAGAGTCATAACCTTAAATCCTTCATTTTATAGCTTACAAAGTCAGGCCAAGTAGAGCCAGCTCCTGGCTCACCAGCAGTACCACGTTTGGAGTCAGCTGCTGCCTTCTTACTAGTTGAATTAATGAACACAGGGGCCAGTAGCAGTAATCAGATCTCAGGCCTCAAAGGAGATGTATTACAGGAAGACTCCTTTAGGGGTACTGGGAAACAGACAAGAAAGTGGGAGGGACTGTCCAGCCTCACCTTCACAAATCTATTTCCTAAATAAGGCAAGTCTGAGAAAAGTGCCTGGGAGCACAAGGTGATAAAGGTGAATACACCCACATTACAACCTTTTCTTTGTCAGTCATGGGGCCTGAACTCTGGGCCTGGGCGCTGTCCCTCAGCTCTTCAGCTCAAGGCTATTGCTCTACCACTTGAGCCACAGTACCACTTCTGGCTTTTTCTGCTTATGTGGTGCTGTGGAATCGAACCCAGGGCCTCATCCATGCAAGGCAAGCACTCTACCCCTGTGCCATCTTCCCAGCCCTATAACCTTTTCTTTATTTACAGGCTGTTTCAGCAGGAACACCAGGGATTCCTTCATTCAGAGATTTATTGAACTACTGTATACCTAGGCACCGGTTAAAGATGGGGACATCCAGTAGATATTTATTATTCAAAGCAGCACAGGCAGACAAATCTACAAGACTTTTACATCCAGTTAGCCAACAAAAAGCAGGAACTGAAGTTGTCACTCAAGTTGTAGGGTGCCATGAGTGGAAAAAAGGTGAATGAGAGCTAGGCACCTGTGGCTCATGCATAGAATCCTAGCTACTCAGGAGGCTGAGATCTGAAGATCAAGGTTCAAAGCCAGCCCAGGCAAGAAAGTCTGTGACTCTTCTCTCCAATTAAGCACCAAAAAAAAAAAAAAAAGCCTGAAGTGGAGCTATGACTCAAGTGATAAAGCACTAGTCTTGAACAAAAAGGCTCAAGGACAGCCTCCAGGCCCTGAGTTCAAGCTCCAGGACCAGGACACACACAAGAAGAGTAGTTTATGGCCTGGGTGAGTGGCAAAGGAAGCTCAGAGGGAGAACTCAGGTTTTAAGGAAAGTTAAGGGCCAGAATTGTCTAGATTCTCTGATGTGCTAAATATGGGAAGGAAAGGCTCGGGGAAGGAAAGGGTGATGAGCACATCCATTTCCCCACTTTCCCTGGGGCCTCACAGAGCCACTGTGCGCTTTACTTGTTCCTGGGAAGCTGGGCATTTTTATGTGATTAGCCTGGAACAGTTCTCTGGGAAATAAATGCCCTCAGTCTAAAGGGCTTTTATGAGTCAGGACAGGGGATTAAAGGCATCCATGCTGCTGAGAAATCCCAGGGTCAGGAGACATTAGAGCACAGAGACTTTTAATCTAAACCTTAAACGTTTTTATTTTTCACTCCCTGAACTCAGGGTGTCACTTTAAATACATGTTTGGCAACATCAGCTGTTCTATTTTTCTTTTTAATTATACAAAGAGAGATCCTGGAAGCAGCCCAGCCCTAGGCTGAGGGTAGCAAAGGAAGTCTGGCAGCAGCAGTTGAAAGCAGACACTAAATAAAAATCCGGTGGATTTGAAATCCTTTTGTGGAAACGGAGAGACAGAAGTTCCCACTACCCTCCCCTTGCTGTGGCCAGGTCTGACTCAGGCCTTCTAAAAAGAGGCTGACAGACTCATCAACTTAGCATGGACACAGGACATTTGGATGGGTGTCCATGTGGATAAAAATACCTCACCAGCACTGAGCCTGTACCTTGGGCTTGGTCCCAAGCCCCAGTTCTCACTCTCCCTGCCTCCCCACCTTTGACTCTCAGCAAAAAAACCGCCAACTCCGTCCTGTGGACCGTGTGCCAAGCACTGCGCCAAAGTGTTCTTGTGCACTTTACGGACTCAACTGCTCTGTGATGGGGAATCTGCAACTTAGTGAGGCGGAGATAGAACCCAGTCCCCAGTGCTGGGCCTGGGATTCTTTGCCCTCGGACCCACCCCTCACTCACTCTTCTCTGCTTTGTTCGGAAGCACAGGGAGGCCACCCCTGCAGCTGTCCAATCAGCAGGCTTTCTACACAGACACACCAACGGGATGTAGGGACGGGAGTTTGGTGGGCGGGAAGAAGGGAGGAGCCAGAGTTTCTCCAACCTCCCTACATCTCCGGTTTGTCTACTTCTCTCCCAGCAGACAGGCCCAGTCTGGATCTGGCTTCTCTACCAACTTCATTCCAGTCCCTTCTGGGTACCAGTAACACCACTTCCTTTCTCCGTCCGTCGGCACCCCTGCCATTGCTCATATGTAGGAGCTCCAACATCTCTAGTTTGCCTTTCTTCATAAACCTTCCACTGCTTAAGGAAAATTCTAACAACTCCTCCATGCTGGTTCCTATTCTTCCTGCTTGCATACTGCGGGGTGGGGGTGGAGGGGTCATACTGTTCATTGGGTTTGGAAGGAAGCTCGATTCTTCCAACAGAACACACTTCACAAGAGGAAGAACAGTAGCCACCATTTATTGAGCATTGTGCTGACTGCCAGACAGATGTTCTTCGTGGAACAGTAATAACAGCCTTGGCTGCCAAAGTGCCCTCACTGTTCCCACTCGACAGATGGGGCTTAGAGAGGCTGGGGTGCTTGCCCAAAGTGGCAGAGTTACATATAGATGAAACAGGTTCAGACCCCGTGAAGAGTGCCTCCCTGCAAAGTCTGTGTGTTTTTTTTCATCTCTGTGGACACCCAGAACACACCTGCAAGCCTCCTGGTAAGAACATTAGCACACTGCTTGCCCTCCCCACTCATTGCAGGGGCCTCAGTTAACTTCTGTTGTAATGAAGCACTGTGATCCAGGATTCTCTAGAACAAGACATGTATCATCATCTAAACTCCTCACTGCATCAGCAGGGCTTCAGGGAAAGGTCTGTGCTAAGCTTTGCTCCCACATAAACAGAAAAAGCCAGAAGTAGTGCTGTGGCTCAAGTGGTAGAGAGTCAACCATCTGAACAAGAAGAGCCTAGCAGGTGTGAGGCCCTGACTTCAAACCCCAGTATAGAGGAAGGCAAGAAGGAAGGGAGGGAGGGAAAACAGGTTAATTGCCTTCATGACTTTGGGGTTGGAAAAGACTGCTTATCCTGGACACACAAAAAAACACTAGCCTAGCAATTGGACTGAACCCTCAGGGCCTAGGAAGAGGAGGATGAACCTGTAAGGCAGAGCACGTGCTTCCCTGGGATGAGTTCTAGGCTCAGCAGACTATTTTGAGATGAATAGCAGAACTTAATTTTGAATTCTGCAACCAGTCCCTTGACAACGTCTAACTCTGTCTTTCCAGCATGATTTATTCTTTGACCGTGAAAACCTTCTGGATCACTTCTAATGCTGCTTTCCAGATGACTTGTGAAGCTGGCACCGGAGCTCAGCAGCAGGATTTCATAGAGCTCAGCTCCATAGGACAACCTTGAATTATCAGAAACAAGTAATATGGAAATGCATGGCTTCCCAAAGGAGTGAACTTCCCATCACCAATGGTATGCAAGCACTATTCTGAGAGAGCTCATGCTCAAGAAATGAGGCTTGGGCCGGGCGCTGGTGGCTCACGCCTGTAATCCTAGCTACTCAGGAGGCTGAGATCTGAGGATGGCGGTTCAAAGCCAGCCCGGGCAGAAGAGACCGTGAGACTCCTATCTCCAATAAACCACCAGAAAACCGGAAGTGGCGCTGTAGCTCAAGTGGTAGAGCGCTCGCCTTGAGCTGAAGAGCTG